GCTCTAAGATAGTAATTTTAGAATATAAGGTTGAAGTCCTTTGTTTACAAAGAAATTGGACATAGAATTATAAAGTTTTGTGGTCCCCTGAGCACGGGGGACGGTTAATTTATATCGTCGATGGTGACGTAACCTGAGTGGAGGTTGGCGTGGTGATCAGCGTAGGGATTGGCACAGGAATTGGCTCGAGGATTGTCACGGGAGTTACCGCGAACATTTCCGACAGTCGAGCCCAGTCGAAAATGAGGGAACACTATTTTTTTATGAGAATATCCATGAAGAAAATAACCGTATGCCGTCATCTTTTTTTATTGAGATTATTTGGCCTTTTTTCAATTTCTATGGCTTCTCGTATAATTATTGGTTTATAGAAGTGGATGGGGGCCATGGTTTTGGGGTTATCAAAATCAATTTTGTGACCTGTATGAAGATGGTGTTGACTTAGAGCTAAAATTGATTTGAAATTCGGAACAGAAATGTAATGTTTCTATACTATATTTTGGATTCTACGATTTGTTTGGCCTATATCGGACAGAGGCAGTTTGCTCAAGGAATTTCATAAACTTCGTGTTGTTCATTTGAAATATTGTATTTGATTGATCGGATAAGAGATGAAAGTTTTTATTGGGGGATAAATATTGTTTTATTCCTCTTGATTTAAACGTCATCATTTTTATCTTACATTGTACTCCATATAATTAACCAACGTATTGCGCATTTTTTAGCTTTCTATCGCTTTCTTAGTAGGGGAAAGTGATCTACATTTGGGTCATAGGGAACATTCAGCTACTCCCAATATATCTGATTTACGTTTGAATTAGGCGCCAATATCAGCCCATGGTGCTAGAAGAAACATCGTCCGACCTTGGCAGTGTGTTAGCACAGACGAGTTTTAATAAGTGGTAGTTATTTTTTCGTCGCACTTTTTCACGTATACTAAAGGTAAGTTTTATGTGTTTAATTTTTTCTTGGTTTATAAGTTACTTTTGTTAATATATGTACCAATTGCCGTGTACCAATGATAAAACATTTATTACTTTTGTAGTGTTAGTAAAACATAACATTCAAAACATTGCCTAGTTTTTCAATTTTATTTAATATTATTTTTAGAGCACGTGGGGAAGTTTCTGCTAACTGTTATGGGGAAGATTCAGCTAGTAGCCGAATGTCCCACGTACATTATTTGTATATTGATCTTTTTTATATCTAAGTGATAATTATTCTGTTTACTAATTTGTTCTAGATGCCTAAGAATTACACAAAAAAACCAATCGCTGTGAGAATAATGAAAATAATATGAAATTGACCATTAAAGCCGTGTTGACAGGGCGTTTTGAGTCAATACAAGGCTGTCCAATAGTATCAAGTTAAAAGACAAACCATACAGTCAAGAATTAAGGTCCTTTAAAAGAAAAAAACAAAAGAAGAGCTTGTGGCTGGATGGGCTGATTTAGGCAATGAAAGTGAAGGGGATACTTTGTATACTAGCTCGTCAAGTTTTTACTTTGCATGAAGAGTTCGAGCTTGTAGCTTACATAAAAACGTATTTTAACTTAAACTACGACCTAAACTATAGGGGTATAAGGGCTGGCTTATGGTTTTGCTAATGCTCTACCGAATACTACAGCACCAAACAGTTGGGGGTTGAATAAAATGGCAGGTTTAGAAGCCAAAGAACTGAAGTGGCTACGTTGCTTTATGAAAAGATATCACAACGATATCTCGCTTCGCAAACCAGAAAATACAAGTATAAATAGGTCAATGGCTTTTAATAAACCACTTACTACTTACTTGTTTACCAAGTATGCCAGTGTCGTGGAAAAATACAAGTTTAAGCCGGAAGATCTGGAATCTGCCTATAGTATTTTTCTTTATCTTCTTCTAATCCCGTTTCGATGTATTTTTGTCATGCTATTTTCTTCTTTTTTATTTCTGTCTTCACTTCTTTATTCACCATCTTGTCCTTTTCAACTGTTTATTATATTTTTTGATTCTACACGCTTCAGTTGCGGTTGTCTTTAATACTTCACTTGAAGTATTCCATCTTTATTCCATTGTCCATGTTTCTTTTTGGCACTCTATTTGTCTCAGTGTTTTGTTAGGTTCCTCCGTGTACAATTCTTGCACACTTTCTATCTTTAGTTTTTTTACATTTACTTTCTTATACTCTTTTCTTTCCACTTCCTCTATTTTTTCATCCTCCAGATTTGCAGTGACCATTCTGTGTTATGTAGACAGTTCCAGTTCCTTTTCCAATAAGATGTTTTTTATATTTTGTTCTAGGTTTCTCGTATAGACTATATAGTTGATTAAGCTTTTCGCATTTCTCTCTTTAGCCACAAATGTATATTTGTCGTTCATGGTTTGTTCACTGAATGTATTTTCTATTATCAGGTCATTGGTTTGGCAGAATTCAAGCATTTTAATTCCATTTCTATTGAATGTGTCTTCCGTATATTGTCCAATGCCACCTAATCTCCTGTTAATGTCCTTACCTACTCTTGAATTCCAATTGTTCAAGATTATTATTTTTTTTTTCTTGTCTCTCTTAATTTGTCTAATGATCTATTATTTTAAATAATATTAATAAGAGATTAAAGATTTTTACAACATATTATGCTCTCTCTTGTGTATTTCTCATTGACTTTTATGACAATTCCCATCGCCTCTAACTATAATCTCTAACATCACTATTCCCGGTCCTCCCAAATATTCCTCTATTTTTTAAAAGCATCCGCTTTTAATACATCTAAAATATAAAGTTGTTCACCAAATAACAACTCAGAAACCCGTTTTGACGTATAAACGTAATTTTCGAACGCAGTGGCATACAACTCGGTGTAAAAGCAGCAATTTCAATTACAACTGTCTTATCCAAAAAAGTCGAATCAGGACCACTCGATGATTTAACCTAATTTTCCATCGGACTCGAACGCAAATCAAATTAATTAGCTGCCGATTGGATTTCGAAATCCCCGTTTGGACTGCTCTGGTGATTCGGACATACACTGCTACCAACTACCAACAAAAACACTGTTACCGTGTTACCAAATTAATTTAGCACTTTCTGTTTGCTTCAGGTTTATTCGATAGATCGATTGACAAAATAAGAGAAGTGTTTGAGGCGCAATAAGACACGTTTAGAACTTGATATTGATAAATTTTGAATACGTATAGTTACGGACGTGGATCTTTATCTGTGTATTAAAATCTTTAAATTTTGCAAGACGTAAATATAGAGTATTGTTTGTTTGATAATTAAAACAAAGATTGTAGTCTTCTTATTATATCAGGAACTTCTCAAATAAATGAATACATTGGCATGTTAGTATATTTACAGCAGATATTTTCTTCTCAATACTAAAGGTTTGCTGATCATTAGTATTCAGGATCTGTTCAGAACCAATAAGTTACAATATTATATTTACATTGCTCTTTAGTTAGCGATACTACTTTCAAATCGATATCAATGTTAGCGATATCAATACTATTGAAAGAATATATCGATAACAAGGTAAGCAATTGATATACAAACAATAAACATTGCTACTAGAATACAAATAGGTCACTTAATCTTGGCAGCAATAGCTGCTGCAGGTGAAGAGTGAGTTTATTTGAATCTGTGTTTCCAGAAAACCTGAACTGGAACCACTGTTCACCAACTCCAGGTCGTGTGAAGACTAAAGAAGGTTTGGACCCACTCTGGGAACCTAAGATCTCCTTTATAACCCTATCTAAAGGCAATAAAATGCTTACAATTTCATTAATTAATTCTAGTGTGTAATAATGCTGACTTTTGGAACATATAGTAGATCGAATTTCATCAAGTTGGTATTCATTGTACCAAAATTTTTTTTTCAAGTTGAGATTTATGCGATAGTGCTGTATGAAGAAGGAAATAATAACAGAGCTTTTGAAAAATTACAGATCCATATATTGTCTGACAGTCAAGCGACACTGAAGGCACTGGCGTGTCAGGAAGTGATGTCTAGGTTGGTATGGGACTGCATCAGAGATCTGAATGAACTGGTAGACCAAAACAATGTTGAACTTGTCTGGGTTCTTACATTCTCCGTGCAACCTTTAATACTATCAACAACACTAGCCAGTGGGATGGCGAATTCTTCGAGAAGCTGCTGTATAGTTTGGCAGATATAATCCCAATGACTTTCCCAAACCCAAAGTATGACTTTCCCAAAAGTATCAAAGCTACAATATCCATTATTTTAAGATTTTTATTTTCTTGAAAGTCTCCTCTACGGTTTTTCACTGGTCATTACTTTAAAAAGAAAAAACCGGTTATAACCGGGACAAAAAAATAACCAGAAAAACCGATTGTTGCATAGTAAAAGCTGGTTTTAGGTTACAATCTGTAGATTTTTTCACCCTTTATATTATCTTAACAATCAATCTTATTGTAATTAAGTTTTAATTATTTTTGTAAATCTTGAAAAGAGGTTTTTTTGCAACTACTGAGAAAAAACTAGTAAACTATCGACCTTATTATTCTTCAGATGCAAATCCACTAACGGATGTTAGCGCTCACATTTTCTATTAATTCTCTCTTTCTTGCAATATGTATCAGAGATTGTATGTCGTTAATCCCTGTCCATTGCCTTATGTTTCGGAGCCAGGACATTTTCTTGCGTCCCATTCCTCTCTTGCCTTCAATTTTACCCTCGATTATAAGTTAGAAGAACTGGTATTTTTCATTTCGCATGATGTGACCTAGATACGCGGTTTCCTTTCCTTGATGGTTTCGAAAAAACTATCGACCAATATAGATAAAATTAAACGATCTTTAAAACAATCCACTTGATTGTGTTCAAAATATTCACTGAAAGTTTTTCCTTTAAAAACACAATTAACCCCTTTTCTGATTTTTTATATTACTTACAAAAATGGAGTTATAAGCAATAATTAGTTTTCATCTGATCCTGAATATGACACAACAACTCGACATACTCTTTCAGGTACATTAAGAATTAAAAAATCAAACAAAATCTTAATCTTTTATTAACAAAAATATATACATCTGTAACATACAAGAAATACTCAGCTACAAAAATATTAATATTACATTTACTATACAGATAAACAACAGATCCTACACAAACATTAATATTAATATACAAAAACTAAAAAAAAAAAATAAATAAATTAGGCGTGTATACTGATTTATAAAAAAACATTGACTAGATCTAGAATACTTAAATCAATCACCAAACATTACATTTATTTTCTGGATTCATTTTTGATCCCACGGGACATCCGAAGTCAAAGGCAAATTCGTTTAGATTTTGAAGTGGTCCGTTCACACGAAATTGTTGAGGAGATAACCTACAAATTGAATCAATATGAAATTTTATTAGGTATGTATTTCAATTCACTCTAACAAGATTTAAATTTTTATTTCTTTAAGTGAGTGATTCAATATGTTTTATATTTTCTGATCCTGCATATCTTTTAAGTTATTCTCTGCAATTTTTGTAGAGATGTAAGTACTGACTGCTTTTAGATAAACTAATGATGTGTATGAATTCATATTATACAAAATGTTTTTAATAAAAGATAAAATACTGAGCATTCTTTTTATACACATATATCACAGAAAGTGATGCAGTCGAAGAAAGCTGAGAAAAATTAAGTCTAATATCTTTCGGCCAAAAGAGTTCTTGGTAAAATAAATATAATTAAAAATAAATAGGTCCCAAGGCGAAGAACTTCATGGTTCTGTACAGAAGTAAAAGAAAATGTAAAGATAAGAAAAAACCTTACCTGAAATATACATCAACCAAAACATAAGAGGCATACAAAACAATTAGAAACGAAACACATGGACTTTAGAAAAAAACGTGCATTGTATAAATGAATGGTCACAAAATAGAAAAAAAAGAATGAAACAACCACATAAGTGGAAGGGAGGAGACCCGTGTCAAAAAAGCAAGAGACAAGTCACCAATCAGCAAAAGAAATATCGTAACCTTCCAAAGAGGCATTAATTCGCAAATGATCGAACAGAATTGCTTATAAAGAGGTAGAAGAAGAAGAAATATAAGTAAATGCCTACAATGTTAGATAACTATACTTACAAAACAATTTGTAGTTTTTTAGATGTTCTAGACACTGTATAGTTACTCAACATATAGAGCAAATATCTTAACAAAAAACACAACAAACTACAAAGCAGTCAAGTTTATTGATTATTTGGTTTCATTTGGTTTTCTTGTAGTAACAACCAAAAGACATTGTGTCTTGCTTGTTAAGAAAATAGAAGCATCCGTACATGTGTTTATTCCATTTCTTAGTGGATCGTAACTTCACAATACCAATTGTTGAAAAAAAAAATGGTAAAGAAATATATAGGTTTGTGTAATCATTTGATTAAAGGGAGGTTGTCAATGGCGGAATATATTAAACTGTTTGTTGAACTTGGAATATGGGAGTTTAATGTGATTTTTATTTATTGTATAAAAAGAGTGATAAATCTGGCTTAAAGTATCGATGTAAGTTCGTTAATTAAGAAAAATGGATGTTAAAATATATGACACATTCTTAGGAGAGATCTCTTACGATAATTTTGTTTTTTTGACGTTTGTAAAGTCGATTTCATGTTTGGTTAAGATGGCATGTTATGCTAGGGCAAGGGAGTTAGACGATCTTGAAGAGAGCGGGTGCTCTCGCCGATGCTGCAGGAGTTACACTCAGCACAGGGTACATGATAGACAACATTAGTATGTTCTAAAGGTATCAATGACGGTTTTGTCTTAAAAAAAACTTTCCTACACTTCTGTAGCAAGTATAAAATTGAAGCATATTTTGTAGATTGTTTCAGGGTAAACAGGGAATAATTTAACTATATGTTATTGGTTTAAATTAAATGTACAAATGGTCGCTAATTTGCGCCAATGGGTGCTTCTGAAATAGATATATATATATATATATATATATTATATATATATATATATATATATATATATTAATATAATATTAAAATGAAAATAACATTATTGCAGTAAAAGAAAATACAAAGTTCCCAATTTTATTTCTGAGAAGTACAATCCAGTTTTCACAGAGGAAACATTTCTACAATACCATCTTCCCGTCGTCGATTTTTAACAAAGAAAATGCACCGTCCCTTCGTTAACACCGAACCCCAACAAAATTCTCCTTACTCTACTCTACTAACCTATAATTGGCGATGTAGCGCTCCAACCCCTCTTGCGAATATTTGGAGCAGTGACGTATGGCGGCCGATATCCAGAACAATTGGTTAGGGGAGTACTGTAATCCGGGCAGCAGGGGCTGCGCCCCGTTCTTCTGACTCCAATTGATGTAAGTGTCGTAAGAAATTTTCATCCCCGCTAAATCTGCCATGTCCTCGTCGAGGGTTTTCGCCGGATTTAGCTGAAAGTTAAAGAGCTGTCACTGAAAGTGCGGTATGTAGGGCTTATGTGGTGTTTAGGTTAAAATTGTAGAACAGATAATAGCGAAAAAAATAATAATATAAACCCTGTGCTCTAATTATAGAATAGTACATTACAACATAATAGAGAGTGTAGTGTTTTTACTAATTATTGATTAAATATACTTTCAAATTTAACGTTAAAGTTAAATTAGATTTTTACTTTGACTTGATTATTATGTCGGCTCTATAAGGAGGGGGCTTGTACCTTGAAGCCATTTTTTTTCAAATAATTGTGAAGTGCAAAAATACTAATGATTCAAATTTTTATATCTCGGCTTCAACAATAGGATATATTTTATCAATATAATACGCATTTTTTGTAAATTTTTAATAAATAAAATTTCCACATTTAGATTAAAAAAAACTGAAAGTAGCTCGAGATACAACATGCATTGTATCTAAAGCCAGGGTGTAATCTACCTTGGGCCATGGACAGAAAAAGCAAAGAGGAACATCAATAAGGGTCTATTTTACAATCTAACTTTATAAAACATGGTAACTTAACTATTAAACTTTGTAGGACAAAAAATCAATTCTCAAAGTTAACATAATTATTCTTTTGTCTCTCACACTCCTTGGTATATTGGCTGGAGTAAAGCCAAAATAATGCATTATCCATCAATAAAAAATATATCGTCACTCTCCTTTAATAATTTGTTCGTGCAATAGAACCTTTTTAAATATTTCACATGAAATTCCTCACTTCTGATATGTATTATCTCCACTACGTAAAAATGCGCTGTTTTCTTTCCAGCTGTTTTCACTAACATATAATCTCTCTGTTTTAAAGCGATGATATCAAACCTGTGTTCCTCCGGCTGGATCTTATCTGAAGCTGCGCGGAAAAGCTGCACAGATATTGTATTGAACCAGGTTCTTTAACCAAGATGTTCATCTTCTTCCAAGATGTATTTCATGCTATAAATAGCTTCTATACTCACTTTTGTTTATGGTACATAAAACAAGAATTATTAGAAAACAAGTGACTTACTTTGAACTTCCAAAATTAAAATTTCATGAAAAAACATGTGTAGCTATCGATTTAAAAATAGTCAACTGAATGGGATTCGTATTTAATGCGCAAACGATGGTGAACATTGATGCCAGCAAAATCACATGAAATAGCAATATATTTAGACGGGTCGCTCGAGGTACAAAACTGCTCAAGTCACGGTTCGTAGACTTACTATAGTTGCCTACTTCGACTGGGGTGGGATAGTTATATGCTTGACTTACTTCAAAAAGAAGAAAAAAATTAAGAATGAAGAAAGAATGAAGAAAGAATGTGAAGTCATAAAAACTGTTAAAATTAGAAAGATTCAATATCTGGGACATTTAATGAGGGGTGAGAAGTATGTATTACTAAGGTTGATTATGCAAGGAAAGATACAAGGGAAGAGAAACCCAGGACGACGCAAAATGTCCTGGCTAAGAAATTTGAGAGAGTGGTTCGGCTGCAGCTCATTAGAATTATTCAGAAATGCGGCCAACAAAGTTAAAATAGCGATGATGATTTCCAACCTCCGCTAGGAGAAGGAACCCGAAGAAGAAGACTTACTTCAAGTAAACAGAATGTGAACCTGCAGCAAGAAGAGATAAAAGAGTAGCAATGAAAAACACAAACAGCTATCATTGAAGACTTATTAGAGTTACATTCATATAAAAGGAAAAAACTAATCTTGTAGCCATTGATTTGTCTTATGTATCCGGTACAAGTAAAGAATCGTAGGTAGATATTTTTAAACAAAAATACAAGGACCTGCTTAGAGAAACCAAAAAATTAAAAGAGAAATAGAAGAAAATGAAAAAAAATTGTGTACTAGCAGAACGAGGATTGCAGAATTAAATAAAATAATTAAAGTAAAAGACATTGATAGCGAGCAAAAGATTTTGAAACACTTTGGTCACATGTTTAGTAAAAACGAAATTAAAATTATTTTGAAAAATAAGAGCATGTTGGACGACAGAAGAATTTTAGTAAAAGATGTTATCTATAGCTAAGAAATACCCTTAAATACCCCTTACCTGGAATATAAATTTTACAAATATTAATATTACACATATTACTCTTAGGTTTGGTCTCCTACAAGATGTACTTTAGGTGATGTATATTGCTGGAAAATCAAAAACTGAACTACAAAGAGTAACCGACTTGTGATATGATAAAATGAAAGTCTGTGCCCAGTATGAATGACCAAAAAGAGGAGGAAGTGGTTGGCCCTCATACGTACATGCAAGTAGTGATAAATGGAAGCAACTAGTCCACATCGGCTGTGATGCAAGTATGACTGACAATACTTTGTCTACTGTAATTACTGAGTTGCACAATGTACATGCGTGACTGATTGCGGGGGAGGCAATCAAGGACATTAGAAAAAATTGAATATTTCAGTTGAAATAGTTACACGTTCAATACAAACGGCAAAAAATGGAAAAGCGCTTGGCCCCTATGAAGTTAGTGCTGAAGTTTTTTGGAGAAAATGGAATTAAAGCTCCGTGTAACCTCTTTAACAGAATTTATGACACTGGGATATTACCAACTGATTATTTGTCACAATACCTAAGAAACATCGTCCAAAGACATGCAGTGATTATCGGACAATAAGTCTGATAAGTCACGTTTTGAAGATCTTCCTGCGAGTAATACACAGCAGAATTTACACGATGTTAGAGGACAGAATTAGCAATACTCAATTTGGGTTTAGGAGTGGCTTGGGTACAAGAGAAGCCTTGTTTAGTATACAGGTACTAGTACAGAGATAATTCAAAATGTGTACATATGTGGAATCGATTTTGAAAAGGCTTTTGACAAAGTCCGACATAACAAAGTGCTAGAAATATTGGAACCAGCTGGTTTGGGTTCAAACTTCAAAATCGAATGAACAAAATAAAACAGACTTGTGATCAGTATGGATTAAAACTCAACGTTAAGAAAACTAAATATATGATAGTTAGCAAACAAAATCATATACATGATGACGGTATAAAAGTCGGAAATGCCACACTGGATAGAGTAGAGAAACTCGTGTATCTCGGCAGTAATATCAAGGAGAGCTGGGATCCAACCGCAGAAATTAAAAGCCGAATAAAACAGGCCCGAGCTGTCTTTGTAAAAATGAGAAACGTACTCTGCAGTCACGATCTTAGCATTGACCTTGGAGTTCAAATGATATCTTGCTACATCTTTCCTGTCCTGCTGTATGGAGTGAAAGCGTGGACTCTAACTGTGGCCAAACAACACAACTGGTCAATATAATAAAGAAACGCATCCAAGATAATCGTGGTCCTGATAGAAGAACATCATGGCTGAAAAATCTTAGGCAATGATATGGAAAATCATCTACATCGTTATTTAGAGCTGATGTCAATAAAGTCACGATGGCGAATATGGTAGCCAACATAATATCCAACGATCGATACCGGTCATGGAACTAGAAGAAGAAGAAGTCACAAATGCAAATATCTACATGTTTCCTGATGCTCCCCATCTTCTAAAATTAACAAGAAACTGATTAGTCGACACAGGATTTAAGATTGAAGTTGGAAGTGTATTTAAAAAAAGATTTGTTAAAAGAACTAATTGAAGCTGCAACTACAGAAATAAGTTCCATATATAAGCTGACTAGATCATTTAGAGGTAAAAACATGCGGATATGCACTTGCTGCAGACTTACTATCCCACACAACTGCAACAGCCTTAAAACATTATTTTCAAGATGTAGCCTGAGATTAGAAATGGCAGCACTAAAATTTGAGATTATTTACTATTATTTGAGTTTATAGAGATTATTAATAGATAGTTTGATTTAATGAATTCCTTTACATCTGCTACAACTATATTTAAACAGCCTTATGGAATGAACATTTTGGAAGAACAAAATAGGTTATTGGTTCTGGAAATTGATATTATCACTAAAATGGTGTGCAAAAGTAGCAGTAGTTCAGACGTATCACAAATAGCTAATATAACAAAAGAAACCGAAACAGATGGGTTGATATATATTGCTGGTTTCATAGCAATTATATATAAAAATCAATTCCCAAATTTTTAAAGACATACCTGCGAGGAACAAAATATAATTGTTCACAATTATTCTGTACTATCCTGGGTACAACATTTATCATTTGGTGGACTTTTAAATGCATCATCGGAATGGGTAGACCAAGTAATGACGATAGAAAAATATTTTCAAAATTTTCATGGTGAAAACCTAAATCGGAGTAAGAAAATTATACATCGAACTACACAGTATTGTCTTGTAAAAACTCGTGCTTTGTCTCGTAAAAACATACTGCAGACAAAAGATATTCATACAGATCAAGTATTCTAATAAATTTTTTAAAAGCCAGGTTGCCAGTGCCAAAAAAAGACAAGATGAAGACATTACTGATTACTCAAGGAAAAATATTTAAAAAAATGAAAAAAATTATTATGTAGTGTATATTTACATCTATTGGAACTACTAAACTAGTTACGTTTTTTACCAATTAAAATTTATTACCTATTAGTTAAATTCTTATATTAAATTGTACAAGTAATTCTAACTCAGATAATCGTAGCTGACCTCTAAGCGCCGGTAATTCATTTAATAGTTAATCCAGTATTGATGATAATTCAGTATATGCGACAAATTTTTAGTGTAAAATGAAGATTGAAGTCCCAGATTTACGTAAATATCCTTTTATTTTTAATACATTGCTTTGGCTTTATACTGATACCAACATATACTTGATACCCACATATCAACAGTTTTCCATAATTAGGTATTATAGCCCACTAAACATCTTTATTTCATAAAAATCTTTACTATTTTCCATATATCAAAGACATAAAAACGACGATTAACAATGTTAGAATTCAAATTACTGTACTCTCGTGACGTAATTTCGGGCTTAATGTTTATTGATTAGTCGGAGTAGGCAACCGTTGTAAGTCTAGGAACCGCGTGCTCAAGGTACATGACCCTCCCCTTTTTTAAATTCTTTAGATGGACTCATTTATCGGTAGCCTTCGTAGATGTCTTTCAGGGCAGCTTTCAATACTTCTCTTGAGTAGATATTATAAAATCTGACACCTGTCTTTATCACCCGTTACTTATTTGTGTAATTCCATGAGAATAATATACGGAATATTTATATTTATATACTGTTTTTAACTTGTCTGTTTATTGTGTAAATTCCTAAAAAATATGTGTACTCGTCTTATTTTAGAAACTTTGTAATTTGTAGAATGGGATGTTAATAAATAAATAAATAAAAAATTACAATTCAAAGTATATCTACTGATTTCTAGACATCCCATACATCTCACAAAGTTAGCAAGCAAATCTTCCAAGCAGTAACTCCAAAAGTTGAGTGGGAAACTTACGTGTCTCTGTCTTAATTCGGAAAGCCTGAAGTTGCTGTACTGATTGGATATACATTGTAGTTTCTGATCGTAATTCGCGAGGCTGTTGGGCGACCACCAACTCCTTAACTCCCTGGGGGCTTGATCTCCGCGTGCGGCCCTCATGAATATATGGGATACTTCGTGGGCAATTATAGAGCCCAGAATGCCGTAGTTCATGTACTCCGGTCGGTCGTTTTGGTAATAGACACCACCGAATATGCCGACTGGGAAAGCTGCAATAAAATCGTTCATTGTAACAAAACTTTAACGGTTTGTGCGTCGGTGGCGGTGTGAAAGGGTGGAGGCGGGCTGGGCTGGATGAGGATTTGAAGTGGCAAGTGGTTATTTTACAACGATATTAGGTTGATCTGGTCTAACGTATGCTTTTAATACTAAATTTATATCTAATTGTTGAAAAGATAACTATGGAAAATAACAAATGCTATAGTACAACTATAAAATTATTTTTTTGAACATAAGTAAATAACTAAAGAAATATATACAGTACGCCTTATAGACCAGGGTCGATAATGTTTGAAACCAAAAAAAATTATAGTAGAATCCGAGGTCAGAAAATTAGGGGGGGGGGGTTTAAGGGTAAAAATCGGTTTATCGCGAAGTGCTATAAAAAAAGTTAAATAGCAAAGTTGTAGGTAACAAAAAGATCTACAACTTTTGTATTTACACTTTTTTTACACAACCTCAAAATTTTTGTGGAAAATTAAAAAAACTCTAAGTTTTTGATTTTTGTATTTTTATTAAAAAAAAAAAAAATTAACGAAATTTGGTGAAAACTTGCCTTAGCATTTATCAAATACACTGCAATTTTTTGGAACTGAGAAATTAATTTTTTTACCTGATATTGATTTATTATCGAAAAAGCACCCTAATTTTCAATCGAAAATTTACGCAATTGATGGATTCGACCGTTACTTGATGGAAATTCATTTTATGTAACAATAAAACACTGAAAACTTTTTATATTGGTGGAGATACGTAGACGACGTACTGGTATGTTTCACAGGAACTAACAGGCAACTCGACCAATTTTTATCATATATTAATTCACTTCATAGTCATATTGAATTTACAATAGAAACAGAACAAAATCAATCCATAAATTTTTTAGATTTAAAAATTAGCAGACTTCAAAACCAACATGACTTCTTCATATTTCATAAACCTACCCATACTGACACGACTATACACAATTCGTCATCCCATCCAACACAACATAAACTGGCAGATTATCATAGTATGTTACATTGATTAACAGAAATTCCGATGTCAAAATACAATTTTGAGACAGAATTAAATATAATTAAGCAGATAGCAGTAAACAACGGATACAACGAACAAACAATTAATAAAATGGTAAATCAAAAACTACACAAGAAAGCCCTGAAATTAGTATTTCCACCACCAGAGAAAAAACCCAGTACCTTCTGCTCGATTACATATACAGGCAAAATAACAACAAAAATTGCCAAACACATAAAAAAGAAAGGAATAACACCAGCTTTCCGAACAAATAACAACCTAGGCAAATATATTAAAAATAACAAGAGCCAAAATAAAAAACACTTTAATAGTGGTGTGTACAAACTTCAATGTGGCGACTGCCCAAAAACTTACATCGGTCAAACTGGTAGAAACTTTGATAAACGAATAGCAGAACATAAAAGGGCTTTCAAGAATAGAAAAACAGATTCGACATACGCACTTCACCTTCTAGATCATAATGATTCTTTTAATGACAAATTTAAAATTCTTCACATTCAAAATAAAGGCCTTAAGCTATCTTTGTTAGAATCTATGGAAATCAACAAATTAAAAACATAGATATAATTCTGAATGACCAACTTGAGACAAACAGTTCTCCCCTCCTCAACCTATTTCATTAGAGACTATAAATTTGTAAACCCAAGCCAAAATAGATCATTTGAGAAAGGCAATCAGCCGAAACAGCTGTAGTGATAATATTTAAAATAAATTTTGTAGAAGTTTGAAAATTTACTCGTCAAAATATCAGCTTTTATAGAAAAGTTGGTGGGCTTTTTGTTCGTTGAAATCTCTACTTTCCGATAGTGTAAAAAAATATAAATTACTATGGGAAATGTTTACAAAAAAACGCAAAAAACGAAGAAAACTCGAACCGAACAATATTTTTTTGTCATCATTATGTACAATTAACTATAAACTATGATCATACTCGTGGAAGTTTGCAATGAAATAGAAGATAGCACATTGATTCACGGGAATATAGAATAAAAAAAATGTAGCTGATTTACAACTATTACATAAATTTTTTAACAGATATGATCCCTTTCCAGAGACTGATAACATGTCAATATTTTCTGGAATTATTGGTAGTACTTCTGTAAATTGATACGAAATGTATATAGAAGGAGAAAAATTATTACAAGCTATTGTGGGAATGAATTTTGGCAGTGTCAAATTTAAAAGAAAAAAACAAAGTGTTGTCTATAAATACCGTTCAATCTTCTGTTAAAGTAAACGGAGATATTATAGCAATCGATCCGTTTTTGCTATTTTAACGAATATCTCTAATAATCGATAGTAAAAAAAATATACAGACTTATTTAAAATACGAACTTGCTCCTTCTTCAGTGTCAATTTTTATGGTTTTCCGAAAATGGTCTCAGCAAAACCGTAAAATCTTAGCTCTACGAATTATTTGTGAGCAGAAATAAACCAACGCATTCTGACGACATATTTACTGCAAAAGTAATTTGGCAGAAAAATGAAACGGTGGAAGAGATGTGTGTCGAACAACATTATGCAACAGGCAGCCATTTCGTTTTTGATGGCTATCTCGAAATTGAAAAATCAGCAATTGCGACACAAGCACCAGCTCTTCTTCCTATGTTCAAAGGGAGATACAAACGACTCTACAAAATATTATTAGGAATTATATTCAGCTGCCTGCAATCATTTTCGGAGGAGATGATTGGTGAATACTAATGTGGCTTCAGACCAAAGAGGTCAACTACAGACCAAATACAACTTGTATATCGATTTTAAACAGGCATTTGATGGAGTAGATCGACAAAAGATGTTAAAGCAACTATCTATGTTAGGGATACCCAATAAATTGGTTAAACTTATACGAATGACTCTGAAGGGTTCCAATGATATGGTGAAATAGATGGAGGTATGAGGCAGGCCTTTGATATTGAAAATTGAGTTAGACAAGGTGATGCCTTATCAACAAAACTTTTTAATCTAACTTTAGAAGCTGTTAATATTGTTCTGAAGCTATTTACTTGTGGCATTGTAAATTAATTACTATTTAAAACTGGGAATAAGCCACAATTAAAGATACAAATACGTTTAATGACGTTTCAATTTCCAATTCGGAAATCGTTCTCAAAATACAAACTGTTTGTGTTTTGAGAACGATTTCCGAATTGGAAATTGAAACGTCAATAAACGTATTTTTATCTTTAATTGTGGCTTATTCCCAGTTATAAATAGTAATTAATTTAGAAGCTGTTGTTAAAAAACTGGATATAAATGGGTGTATTATTACAAGATCAATGCAAATATGCGCATATGCGAATTTTGTTGCCATAATATAACAACATTAGTCAAGAAATAGAAGCACGGATTCTTAGCGGTAATCTGTGCTTTTATGCATACAAAGAATTAATGAAAAGTAAGTTACTGAGTCGTGAATCTAAGCTTAGAATCTACAAAATAGTAATAAGACCAGTGGTCACATATGGATGTGAAACGTAGACCCTCTTAACCACTGACGAAAATCAACTGAGAATATTTAAACGCAAAATACTAAGGAATATATTTGGACCAACCCAATGCAGCGATGGTTCGTGGAGAATTAAAATGAACCACGAACAGGATGAACTAATGAAGAGCGCAAATATTGTTAGATTTGTAAAGTCACAAAGATTAAGCCGGCTTGGTCAGCTAGAAAGAATGCCAGATAAGCGAGCTGTAAAATCGAGTCCAGAGTCCAGAAATGGAAGCCTTAAGGCTTCCGAGGAAGGAAAGTATCCGACAGGGCAGAATGGAAGAACATTCTTAAGCAGGTCAAGACTCACATAAGGTTGTAACGCCATTAGAAGAAAAAGATAGTGGAAGATTCGCACAGACCAGTAAGTGATGCAAAAAGTTCACAGGTTTCAATATATGTGTGAACAATTAGAACAAGAAGAAGAAGAAGAAGAAGTTATTTTGAGATTATTTTATTTGGTAAATATGACAATAGTGTCACAAAAATATACTTACTCATCATGTTTTCTTTCGGCGAATAATATATTTTTAACCCAGATACAATATACAGGTCCTTATACGGTTCTTCTTCGTACGTAGTTCTTAATTTGCTTTGTTCTTTGTATAATTGAACAAGACGTAAATTTAAAACTGCTTCGAGGTATTCACTTTCATTAATTCTGATCTGAAAAATATTTTAATAAGATCTATGACTTTAAAGGTTACACTTAGACTGGAAAAAATCGTGAAGAAGAAAAATTTTTAGGTTTACGCATTTCATTTCTCAATCATTTAGACTATGCATATTTTTTTAATTAAATAGTTATTTTAACAACTTACCCACCTGTGAATAGAGCGACTTATTTTCCTCTAAAAGATTAAGTAAGTCTCCAGTAGATGGCAGTCTCTCTACACTGCTGTGCAGCGATTGAATAACCAAATGTTTGGTTATTCCATCCATCCATTCTGATCTAGTAATGGTTTCTTCAGCCTGTTCTTTTATATTCGCGATCATCTCCATTGCTTTGAATCTTCGGTCTTCCGAGAAGAAATTCTGAATGTAGGCAGCGGCCAGAACTGAACCTAGACTGAAAGAGTTAATACAAAACATATTGTATTTTTTTTTGAGAATAAGAATATCAGAATAACAGCAGAAAATATCTGTTTTATTCAAAAAAAAAACAGTAACTTTAGAAGTCAATGAAATCACTTATTGCGCAACAGATAAGTAGATGTGTGAGACATGGCTGTGTACTTTCACCATTACTATTTAATATATATTTCGAAGAGCTATTTACGCAAGCACTTGAAAACTGTATAGAAGGGATCAAGATAAATGGTGAAAATATAAATAACATCCGATATGCTGACGATACAAAACACAATTTGTGATACTGAAGAATAGTTTGGTTTAACAATAAACATAAAGGAAACAAAAACCATGGTTATCAGTAAGAGGGGCAAAGTCATTACAAGGATCCAGATAAAAAATTAAGATATTAAGCAAGTGAACAAAATGAAATACTTAAGAGTTTGGATTACGGAAGATCCGAATCCAAAATTAGAAATTCTCTCAAGAATAGAGCAACAAAAAGCACCCTTTTTCAAGATTTGGATATTTCTGAGTAACCAAAGACTCTAAGCGAAACATATCAACAATAACTTTATTGCATGACGGTTGTAAAAATAATAACAAAAAACATTTACCTTTTCTCTGTTTCAACGAGACACGTCTTATACCTTGGCACTTTAAAATTAACAAGTCTTCTATTCATCCTCTCTATAAGTTCTAGCGTTTTTTGTGTCAATTCTTTTGGTAAATAGTGTATGAGTTCCTGGATTGTGTGCCATGCTATTATATTTGCTAAAGACCTACAATATAAAATGTTTATTAAGGATACAATGTAGGTATATTTTATTTATTTATTTCAACGTTAGAACTATTTACAATAAAATACAAAACATAGTAAAAAGTAAAAAGTAGAAAAAAAAATAGAGTCAAAAAATTTCCAGAATAAAATAATAACGTGGAAAGAATATATACAAAAACTATTTGAAGAGAAGAAGAGGTAAATGATGGACCAATATGGATGAAAATACCGCAAAACAGAAATCGCTCACCTTTTTGACGTAATAGCCAAAAAGTTTTGCATTAGATCTACATATCGAGGCTTCCAAATGATTACTTCATCATCATAATTGACATTGATGGCAGGTGTAAGTAGTCCATTAAGATAGTGGTGCCACTTGATATCTTTGTACTTATACTGGAGTTCTGATATTGCCCTTCTGTCAAATTGAGGTTCAGTTTTGTTTTCCGAATTAGAATCTTTCTCAATCTGTAAATAAAATATTAGTAAGTATTATAAAAAAAAATCATTAATTATATAGTATATATTAGTAATAAATATGATTAAATTTAGGCAGCTTCCCAAATTCGGGCAACAGCTTCTTAAAGTAATACGAGCCGCCACTCAGGTATACCTGCTCCTTTCATCATATCCTTTATAACTCTTTTAAAATTCATCTTAGTAAATTTATTTTAGTAAAGATTATTTGACAGTTTTGGTATACCGCATTTAGCTATTATTAAAAAATATTTCAAGCAATTCAATATTTACCTCTCCAAGCTCATTAAGAATTCGTATGGTCTCCGTAGCATCCTCCATTGCAACGTTCTTGTTGGCCCCAAAAATCACAGCCATTTCGACCATATATTCCAATAGTAGGGCTCTGGATTCAAGGTTTGCATTTTGTTCGGCGTATGGTATGTCATGTATCTAAAAATAAAAAAAAAATTGTTAAAAATCAAATAGTTTGCTTAAAAACGATCATAATATAAATAACTCTTATCTGGGCAATATATTTTAATTGCACGGAGAGCAGTCCTGTCACCTCTACTGTACACAGCATACACCATAGATGTTCCAAGAACACCAGGAACACTACTCATCCTTTATGCAGACGACACAGCGATTGCATAATAAAGAATGGGATACTAGATCGAGAAATTGCCCATAGTTACCAATTGAATGAACATTCAATTGGTAACTATGGCTACGGAAAAGGTAACGATAGAGGAGAAATACTTCTCAATTACATGAATGAACATAACATGTACTCAATGAACTCCTTTTTCAATAAAAAACCAAGCAGAAAATGGACATGGATGAGCCCCGATAAAAAGACAAAGAATGAAATAGATTATATCTTAACGAAGAATAGAAACCTAGTAGAAGACGTATCAGTATTAAATCAGTTTGACCTAGAAAGCGATCATAGACTAATAAGAACAAAACTAATAATTAACAAAAAACTAGAAAGAAAAAGAATACATGAAAAAAGATACAAATGGACATCTGAAGAATTTAAAAATATTGAATTTAATAAGAAGATAGCGCATGCATTAAATCAAGTTAGTATGCAGCAGATAAACTCCAATGATATTGATGATTTGAATAACTTTATTACCGAAACAGTGAATAAAAGCCTTCTCCAACTGAAAAAACCAAAAACAACATACAATGAATTAGACAAAGAAATATTACAACAAATAAAAAGAAGGAAGATCTTCTTTTAAGAAGATCTTCCTTCTTTTTATTATTATAGAAGAAATAAATCTAACAAAAGGGGAACCGACGAATACAGAGAACTTAATAGGCAGATTAGAAAAGGAATCAGACAACAAAAAAGAAAAGAAAACGAAAAATTAATAACAACAACTATTGAAAAAAATAAGAGTATGAAATGCCTTCGACCAACACTAGGACGACGTCAGATGATATCATTAATGGGAAAAGGCGAAAATGAAATCACAACTAGAGAAAACATACTGACACGAATAGAAGAATTTTACACAGAACTTTACAGAACACATCAACAAGATGATGAGATGAGACCAGCACGGAAATTAATAAAAAATGTTGGATCAGAAATAATGTCAAAAGTAAAAATTTCAGAGGTAACTACAGCATTGGAAAACATGAAGAGAAATAAAGCTGCAGGAGAAGATAGTATTACCACAGATATGATATTAGAAGGAGGTAAGGAACTAATTGCAATTGTAACTAAGCTTGTGGACAGTTGTATACATCAGGGAAAAGTCCCTAAGAGCTGGAACAACACTAAAGTAATCTTATTACACAAGAAAGGTGATATTCAAAAATTGGAAAACTACAGACCCATCAGCAAACTGTCACACTTGTTTAAAATACTCACCAAAGTCATAACTACTCGACTAACAAGGAAATTAGACGCATACCTACCATATGAACAGGCAGGTTTTAGAAAAGGCTATTCAACTTTCGATCACCTGTTAACCACAAAAATATTAATAGAAAAATGTAACAAATACAAGTTTCCAGTTTTCCTAGCATCTGTAAACTACGAAAAAGCTTTCGATACCATAGAACACACGGCCATAATAAACGCAATGCAAAATTGTAGAATAGACAGCAGATATATTAACTTAATAAAAGAAACTATGAACCAAGCTACAGCTACATACTACCTAAATGACAATGAACACACGAACCCTGTACCATTAAACAAGGGAGTCAAACAGGGGGAGATACTTTATCACCCAAACTGTTCACCTTAGTTTTGGAGGACGTTTTTAAAAACCTGAGTTGGAAATATAAGGGAATAAACATCAATGGCCGCTACCTCAGTAATCTACGATTTGCAGATGACCTAATCCTGATAGCTACTGACCTACAAGAAATGCAAACCATGCTTTTAGAACTACATACCGAATCTTCTAAAATAGGACTGAAAATGAATTTAAACAAAACAAAAGTCATGCACTCCGAAGACACCGTGACAGTAATAAACGATAAAGTTATAGAAAAAGTTGAAGAATATATATACTCAGGACAAAAAATAATACTAAATAGGGAAATTCAAACTGAAGAAATAAAAAGAAGAAGAAAGTTAGCTTGGGCAGCATTCGGTAAACTGAACTATATACTCAGAAATCAACAAATTCAATTACATCTTAGATCTAAAGTTTTTGATTCATGCATTAAACCGATATGAACTTATGCGGCACAAACATGGACAATCACAAAAAAAAATATGAATATACTTAGTCACTCAACACACGATGGAAAGAGCAATCCTAGGTATATCACTTAAGAACAAGAAAACAAACACATGGATAAGACAGAAAATCAAAGTCACCGATGTGGTACAAAAATCATTAAAGTTGAAATGGGAATACGCTGGACATGTAGCTAGGAGCGATCTTAACAAATGGCACAGATTAATTTTAACCTGGATACCATACCAACACAAAAGACCCAGAGGCAGGCCTCCTATGAGATGGACAGATGATCTGAAAAGGACTGCCGGGAAAAATTGACTACAAGTAGCGTACAATAAAAAACAATGGAAAGGAAGACTTGAAGCGGCTTATTTTCAGATGTGGACGTGAATGGCTAGACGAAGAAGAAGAAAAAGAAGACCTCCATGTCATTTAACTTTACTATGGTACTAAAATAGTACTGTGTAGGACATAACGGCATTGTAAAGTAAAGTAAAAAAAATCCGACAAAGAAAAGTACAGTTAAAAAAAGAAGCGTTTATTCTATATTAATCATTATCAACAACATAAATAATTTAACTTTTAGTATATTAAAGAGAGTTTATATAGTAGATAAAAAGCAAACTAGAACTAAATTTTGGGAAACTAAAATTTATACAAATTGAATTTTTAGGGTAGACGTGGTGGATGTAAGGAAAAACAATTTGAACATAAGGTTCAATGGAATAATTCAAATATAGTCCTAAAAGAAACGGATGGTAAAAAAAGAAAAATCAAAGAAGCGGCTCTAATTATGCTAAATGAGGCCAATTGTGTCGCAAATTCCTCGGCAGAATGAAGTAGGATCTGGTTATCAATATTGAAAGAGGAAGTTATTAATAAGAAAATACCAGTATTAGTAAGTCAGTAACATATCGAGGATACAGCATTTATGTTTTTTAAATAACGTAACATATAAAATCAGAATTTTAATGTTTGTTGAAGGTAAACAAAATCACGAACAAATACTTACAATGTCGGGATAGTATTATGAGGTTTTTTTCCTGGTTTTTCCCTCATAATTTACTATGGAATCACTAACAGGAGAATTTTACTGTCATCATGTCATGTATTTGTCTTTTTAAAGACAAATTACATGCTATGATTTTTTCTGACGGATATTCTCAAGTTAAAGTTGATTTCATGTAATCGAATTAACTATCTTATAAGTAAAGTCGTCCCAGGAGCGCAACTCAACAATATTGGCAATATCATTTTAAAGTCGTCTACTTTAAAATGCATAATGTATGTCTGAATTGTCAATATAAATGAGTCAGATAAAATTAAATTATTAGAAGAATTTTTTCACTATGTAACAAAAAACAAAATTTGTTTAATTTACTGTTTGTATTTTGAGAACGATTTCCGAATTGGAAATTGAAACGTCAATAAACGTATTTTTATCTTTAATTGTGGCTTATTCCCAGTTATAAATAGTAATTAATTTACAATGCCACAAGAAAATAGCTTCAGAACAATGTTCAATGCTTTGATCGAAATATTTAAGACCTTTCATAACCATTTCTTTTTAGGAGATCCTAAAAAATATTTTTTTAGCCATCCTTAAAGTTTTCAAACCGCATATAGGACGAGTGTATGTATACGGAATCAGCTTGAACGTTATTTTAAATATTTGTTTTGTAGGTTGATGTAATTCCCTATATACGTCTATGAATCCCATTTCCATCTCGGTGAGATATTCGCTACTGCAAAAACTTCTTTGCTTCATCGTAATCGGATAGAGTATCGATATCGTGTATTTAGAAATAAATCATTTTATTTCGTCTGACGCTTAATATAAAATATCTACTTGAGAAAGCTGTCGATGTTGATGTTTGAAATTTTATATGCAGAAAAAATTGATTGTTACACTAAAAATTGTCAAATCAAAAGTTTTAATTTTTTTTTATTACTACGTATTTGTTTCCTTCTCCTTCATTCAGTTGTTTTAAAGTTTAATTTAAGGTTATGTTATAGAGCGCTGTCTTGTATTTGTGAGACAGATTGCTCGCTCATAAACGGCACGATGAGGCTTCTTCTTCTTTGAGTACCGTGCCCAAGTTTTTATTATTTATTTGCCTATATCGTTCTCGATCTTACGCGGCATGTAATAATTCATCTGCTAATAAGCCAGTCATTTATGAAGGTTTCGGAGCAATGAGTATTTCTTTCTACCAATTTCTCTTCTTCCGTCGATCTTTCCGTTGAGTATCAACTGCATTAGTAAGAAGTCTAGTTTTTCCAGTTTTTACTTATGCATCGGAATGTTCTACCCTTACTGAGAAAGACAAAAAGAACATAGATGTATTTGAGATGTACTGCTGGAGACGAATGCTGAGAATACCATGGGTCACCCGAAGAACAAATGAATCCATACTGGACCAGCTAAACATAAAGAAAAGAAAATCCGTAAAATAGTTTCGAAACACAATTTAGATTTCTGCTTATAATCTGAGCCTTCTAAAAATTGCAAGACAAACAGAAGTTAATAAAAGATGTTAAAACTAACATGGGGAATCTAAAATTTGCATTCCACGACATGTCTTTACAACTAAGCAGAAATCCTTAGCAAATTGTGTTTCTCGTACTCACACAGAGTATATCCGAATAAAATGAAAAAGACAGCAAATATTTGATTTCACGCAAAAAGCGCCTATGTATCTGTTGATACATATTTCGACCTAATAGATCTCATCA